AAATGTTGTCAAAATGTTCTGTTTACTGTAATATTTCTTGTATCTAAGAATTCACAGAAATTTGCGGAATGGGTGTTATTTTCAGCAAACACCAAATGTTACCTATTACATACCATAGATTAGCTCAATGAAGAAGAGCTAAAATTTTTCACCCCCCTTCAGAGGGTTATCAAGCTGATCGCCAAAGCCCTGAAACATTGCCACTGGAGATTATATGTGTAGAATGGCAAGCTCATCTTCCCTCTGTTAATATACCTGCATTAGTGTGGAGCATTTTAGATTTTAAAAAAATGAAAATTTCCTTTATAACCTTACAAATTTTAATATTGGTAGTAAAAAAAAAAATAATATCTGAGTTGTTTTACATTTTATTGCACAGCAGTGGCAGTAAAACTCTGCCTCTTGTCCGATCTCCAGTTTGGGTGTTGAAACTGTCCTGATGACCAGATTTTCGATTGTCACTAAAAGTTAAGTGAGAGGAAAACTGTCCCCTTTCAGCCTTTGTAGTTTACCATGTTCAAATGGATTTATGCAGATGGATAGCAAGAGACTAGTCATTCATTAGACCGAAAAGGACATAAACAGACTATTAGGAATACTGCACTTGAGACTGTTTACACAGCTAAGCATTTGTTTGCCAAGCCGCAGCAACGTTGCTTCATAACTGCACCTGTTTCCCCACTTTGTGCCAAGGTTCTACTGAATTTTAGCCTTCACCATTTTCCCTTCATTAGATGGTGTTCAGTGCCTATATAAATAATAATTGTCCAAACTGAAAAATAAATGTGTGATTGTATTCAATATTTGCATGATTTCCATCGATGTTTGGTCAACAGTCCATTTTATTTGCCACGTGAGTTGACTGAGGACTCATTTATCACTTGCGGTGATTATCTTGGGAGTCAAAGATAATGGAGGATTTGAGATATTGGGATACAAATGAGATGTAGGGGGTGATTTTGTGGTCAGATGACGATCACCAATTTCATGCGAATTTGATCTTGACTGAAAGGTTAACTACTCTTTCCAGAAACATCCAGGGATCTAAAGACAGCGTGTCATGACTGCTGTTTATCTCATCTAAAGTGCAATACCTTCTTCGGCACAGTGCCCCCTTCACTGTGCAGGGGCACTAGATTGGATTTTTGGTCAAGAGGGGACCAGAGCAACCAACTGGCCCACAGACATCTCTAGCAGGAGCAGTTTAATTTTCTCAGGTCTTCTATACAGGCATCAACCAAACCCACACATACTTAGCAGCTGGACAAGAGTGGTGTGGTCTTTCTGCTAACATGGTGTTTCATAGTACAGATTTATGGTTTTGATTCTGCAAAATGACATACATTACCACTATACTGTAGATATGTGCTGTGGTCATGGTTCACAGATATAAGAATGCATATTGGGGATTTTGAAACTATCAAAGTACTATTTACATGTTACATTTAAATAATTATCTGTTGTGCAAATGCAGAGTGACATTAAATTATTATTATGCAATTTCCCCAATGGAAATTTACTGAAACAGTTCAGATTAAGCATCATTCCTGAGGCATAAATCCACTGTGCCCCACCTGAAAATCCAACCTGCCAAGTTTCCATGATCATTACACTACACAGCCCTCCTCCTCAGTGCACTCTCCACCAGCACACTGCCACCCACTTAAGCTATTGCTCTGTTGCTTTCTAAGGACAACTATGCAGATTTATTGTGCTCACACCTGCCACCTGGTGGTGAGGAATGACAAACTCAACAAAAGACTGAAAAATTCTCATCTGGTGAATGACACACTAGCATTCCATGAAACATGGTTCAGCATGGAGTTTTAATAAGACCTGGAGGCCCTGCATATTAGTGTAGTCATTTACATGAATTTATGTATGAAATGGACAGTGCTTACTACATACCGAATCTTCATCTGCCCTAGTTATGGATGTCAATTTTCAGTTAATGTTAACATAAACCAAAGCTAACAGTGTGCAGATGCTTTTTGTCCACCTTACTGCACTTCAGTAAGAAAAACACAACTGTTACACATAATTATAGCGATGAGGCATAGCTTACTGCACATTCCAAAAACAGTTAGATGCAGACAGCATTAAACAGCTCTAGACAATGAGTAATGCTTAAAATTTAAGATTTAATTACAATGTGTTATATAACAAAATTAGACATGATAAACAGAGTCAAGTTCCTTTCTTCAAAAACCTATAATTGGCAATATACATAAGTGACTGTTTTTTGTTTAAGTTATAGACTTTTTAAGACACATTACTTGATTTGTTTAAAATATTCAGTATGTAGTTGGCAATACTGCCTTCCAAACTATTCATGCAAGGAGTCCTACAGCTGGAATTTATTCACTCCTTATATACAGAAAAGTTCCTTCGACAAAATGAAAAAATGGCAATACTAGCCATGTGAAATGCAATTGTATATAATTCTTAGATAAGTGTACTTTGTTGCAACAGTCCAGAGCTCTCCTGTCCTACATGCCTGGTCTGCTCTGCATCCAAGAACAGATGTAGTCTGGAGCTGTCTCCTGCTTATAAGCACACAGAATCTTGAACAGCCAATGGAAAACAATCTTTCACCACTGATCCAATCAGTGGTCTGAAGACAATGCCTCGAGGAAGATTTAGGCTAACACACAAAATCAACAATGTAGTATAGTTACAGAAAAAATTAGCTTCACTCAAGAATTCATGATTTTATTACTCACATACTTTTAAAAGTTTTATAGCCTTGAAAGCTTCCACAAACATTTTGGGTCCTTATTTTTGATTGACTCCTTTTGGTTAAAGATGCTAAAACATCTTCATAAGCTTGCCCTCCGATGCCTGCTACAGATTCTGTTTTCTGAGGGTTAGACATGTGTAAATACACACGGTACATTAGGTAGAATATCTGGCTCGGCTTAAATGTATTTATTTACTGTGAAGATTATAACATAAAAAGGCTGCCTGGCAGTTTTCCAGACTTGATTTCCTTCTACCCTCAAAGACTGGAGTCAACTGAGGGAAGACCGCATCTGGTCTAGCTGCTCAGATAGGTTTTATTTTATAAAGAACGGTAATCATTCCATGTGAAATGCAGTTATCTGATCATCTTGGGTCATCACTAAATATGGTGGATATGAAAACATTATCTTAGGGCGAGGAAACATGTGTTTGGCTGGTATTGTTCATATCATACAATCTGTTATCTGACCACTGGTATTGGACTGGACTTGTGTGCCCTTACCTGTGTATATGTGTGTGTTGCTGTGTGTATGCATTGGTGTGTATGCATGTGCATGCACTTGATTGAATTCTATTTCTAAACTTGAACATGAGGGCAGCATTCGGAAGGTCACTGAAACCTTGCCAAAAGCTCAATAGTATTCTAGATCATCCTTCACCTCAGACAGACAGAACCTGATATTTATAATGGTCAGAGAGTTGGGATGAATGACAGAAGAGACCCAAGGTTGTGCTATAAACAGAAAGAGGAGATGTCTGCTTGTGAATCATAATGTAATTCAATATAATCAATCACAGAAAGAGAAAATGCATCATCTCAAACCATATAACACCTTTTTTCATTTTTATCACATCAAACAAAATCTAAAACGATCCATTTTACCATGAGAGAAAGAACAAACAAAAACAAAAAGGCAACAAGTCAAATACAAAACAGAAAAAATAACTTAACCATAGCACAGCCTTTGGCTTGACAGAAAGACAAATATCTCCTCAGCCTATGTTATATATTATATACCATATAAACCATAAATTAACAAAGCATTCTCATATCAAAACAAAGAACCAGGTTCAACACCAAAAACACAGGTATTCAAATCTCTGACTGCTTTCTACATTGAGTACCAAAGTGTACTACAGAACATTTAGCACCAAACACCGTAATTTCTCAGTAATGACAACTGATAACCAATAGATGTCAGGTGCAATGACAGAGTAACAGCTTCTTAACTGACCCTGCTGGCTAAATACAAGCACAATAAATACAGGATACTTCAGTTTGAAAGTAAAACAGAGAGAGGGTGTCTAGGAGCAGCCGGGGGGAGGGTGTGTCACCTTAAACAGTATAAGCCCCTAGTTCAAACAGGATGATCTAAGCTCTGAGTGTGTCAAAATACTTCAGGAAAACAGAGATAGGCCTATATCCCTGAATACAAATGTACCCAACTTTTCTCTTAGGTTTGTAAGGAGAACTCCCCTGCCAAGGCCCCTGACAGACTCTAAGCCTTGGCTGGTATGCCTCCTTCCCTTCTCAAATCAGTCTAGTATGCAAATTAATTATTTGTTAGTTACAGTACACAATATTTAAATTAACACATGTAATGAATAAAGTCAGATTGTGCTCATTTTCTACAGTCTATGTGACCTTTATACAGGTCAGAATAAAGGGATTTAAATGCAAGGATTTGCATAAAAATAATTGAATTAAAGATGAAAACGGGGTATGAAAAATGATTGCTTCCAAGACAGAAACCAGGAGTAGCTTACCGTAAAGGTCTCTTCAAAATGAGGGATTTAGGTTATTATAATATTGTATTACATTACAGTGTCATATTTGCTCTGGATAGATAAAGAGGACAAGGATTCAGCCATTGAAATGGAGAACAGATCCCTTCTTACTGCACTGTACCTGCTGGACTGTGCTAATTGAGGTAGCATACATAGCATTTTCTTTGCTGGATGGTACGGCCTGCATCTCGTCAAAATGAACTTGGGTCTTTGGATGAGTGCTATTGTACAGGAATTATCATAACCTATGTTAAGATTATAAACATGCAGTCAGAGTGTGTAAGGTCAGAGTAATTGTCACTGCAATTTTCAATAATTGGTATTGAAACATTGTAATAACTACAGGACCGCAATTACCCTGGTCCATATAAAATTTTTTACATTTTAAATCAAAATTATTTTTCAATGACAAGCTGTATATGTTGATCGATAGATCACTTTATTAATTCCAGAGGGAAATTCACAAATCTTGTTCCCACCTGGTTTTAAACCAGAGACCTTTCACATGTGAGGTGAACATGATAACCACTACACTATGGACACTTGCATAACCAAATTCTAAGGAGACTCTGGTTCTACTATAAGATTGCTCTGATGGTTCACTTATTCCATTCTTTCTGCAAAATGAAATTATCAGAAACAAGGAGATGGTCCTTGACAGTTTATGCTCTATGCTACCTGCGTTCAAATTTACATATGCAAAATCAAAGCCTGTTGTCTCATAAGAGAAAGCAATCAAATTATTTTTACAGATTAGAAGAGTACTATGTATCTCAACCCTTTTCGCTAGGTCATTTCAGCAAACTGAGATAATTGTCAGCGCTGTAGGAAACTGCATTTAGGGAAATGAATTACATTTTCATGTCATTTTGTTCATAAGTGGCAACTCATTATAAGAGGAGGTTGATACTCTTCCATGCCTGCTGTGGAAAAGAGGTGCTGGATATAAACATGCATACTTGAAGACATTTCATTACATTCAAGTCATTAAATGGAATCATCTCCTTCACAATAACAAGGAATTTTCCAGTTGTCAATTCCATTATAAATAATAATTCAGATGTAATTGGTCTTCGATAGATGTTTTTAAGTGAGATAGGACTGCATCTTAATGAGTCACTCTGTACTGAGAAATCTGTACAATTTGAGCAGATCAGCTGCTTGGCTGTGCTTTTGTCTTCTGCTTTACTGTGTTTGTAAACATACGTTTGATTTGGTTTACAAAATATTTAATTCAGATGTATGCATTGTTCATTAAATCTCCAGTTGTGAATGATATTAACCATGATGTTTAACACCTTGGTTGAGAAAATGAACACAGCATATTAAAGTGAATAGCTCACTGCAAAGGAAAAGCAAAACTGCCACAAATTATCATAACCATCATTCAAATGACAACACTTTACTCTTATAAGTAAACAGCACATTCTGTGATTTCTACTGACAACAAAGGACAGCCTAACTAAGTATATTGTAGTATTAGGATGAGGCCAAAGGGATCACATATTAAAAGTAACTTCCTTCCTTGGTAGGACATGCTGCAACTACATTTTTCAGCCTTTGGTTCGCACTGGGATGAAACAATGTAATGCACCCAGTTAGAGAGTTACAGCATGCTGCCTTATTGAAGGCTCTCTAGTATAATCACTGTGTCCACTGACCATGCAGTGACATTTAGTGCAGGCAACTTCAGTACAACTAAACGACACCGTCTGTACTGTACATGAGGAGTAACTTGAACAGATGGGGCCTGAGACCACAGATAGGCTTATACTTGCTTTTTGGAGAAACTCCTGTAACAATCAAGCTAAACAATTTGTCCTTAAAATTTTATCAACTCAGGTGTTTGATCTCTTAAACTTCATTTTGATGTCTTGTTTCTGTTTCCATTTTTTCTGTGGTTATGGACTTCAAGGTTATAGACACACTGAGAAGCACTTTTAGCTGTAAGTCAAAATTAAGGACAGATGTTGATTGATTCTGGGCCTGAATCCCAGTTGAAGGGAAGAAATCCCACTGAGTGGGTGGAAGACAGTAATATCTTGTTATCTCACTTCCCCTTGTAGGTCAAGAGCAGTACTATCACTCTGAGGGGTTGCATAGTTGAACTGAAGTGACAAAAAGAAGTCATTTCATGGATATATGATAGATCCACGAAAAGCCACAAGAATGTCGTCATCAGCTTCTTCTTAAGTAGTCTGTTAAATTGTTTTTAAAATTGGATTTTTGGCTTATTGGATTTCACTAAAAGCATCCTTTAGCTCAATGAATTAAATCAAATTAATGAGGTGTAAATGTTCCACTGCCATTTACATTTCATTTCCAGTTAACTTTAAAGACTTATCGATGTTTCAGGCTGACTGGTAACTGTTTTTTCCTCTTCATTTGGGACACCGACTATACATTAATCCTTTAGGCAAGAAAGCACTTTGGAGTGATGAATTTTTAAATATTTTGAATCCAGCTGAGTTGCAAGACTCTTTATTCAGTTCAGTGGCCTCACAGTGAGAATGACACCTGGAGGTTTTAGGTTCATTTTTCTGCCCGGTCGCAGTGTGGACAGTAAATGAGGTGCATGTGGCCCCACTGGCCTGGGCTGCTGTGAGGGTTCTGATGGATCGGTATCCTGTCCAGACCGCATCTGCTCTTCAAGCTGCTCCACACCACAGCAATCAGCATAAGCAATCAAAGCAAACCAACCTCTATCTGCCATCTGTGACTACATGGCAGTTTTCTAAATAATTCAAATAAAACATGCTGCACAATTGTAAACAGTATTACTGACATGGCAACTAACATCACTGTAAACATTCACTATGATCTCACGCAGTATTTTCTCCATTAAAAAGAATGTTTGCTAATTAATTCTGAAATTGAAGATGTTCTGTACACTAATCTGCACCTGTCTGTAAACATGAATATTGCAAACCTTTGCCTAATTCAGACTAAAAATAAAATTTCCAGTTCTACCGTCAGCTGTTTGGTAATACGGTACTTGGTATCATGATTACCAAGGAAAGTCCACAATGGAAACATGTTTTAAATTAGTGATTAGAAGGACTGAGGTTTCATGAACCTTATAATGGGGTTTCAATCACTAACTGAATGAATCAAACGATTGCTTTGGACCAATCATTGTGCTTTTCTGCAGATAGCACAACCTTTTTATTCATTCAGACAAGTCAGTGTTTGACAGCCCATTTCAACTCACTGAACAAAGAACAGGAGAATGAGGTTCTTGAAAACTCATTCTCCTGTTACATATGGGGAAAGAAACATACAGTCAATGTATCATAAATACAGAGGTAATGTAGAGACATGTAAAATAAAACATAAGGGATTTCTTCATTAGGTATGGAAATTAAAGGGCTCTATACACATATCTTCTTCAATAAACAGGACTTCAGCTTTAGGGATTGTAATGCTTGAGGAATAATAAAATCACACATCCTATGTCGTGAAACAAAGTGACTCTAAATGGGAACTGCTGTAGTCTATTAAATAATAATAACAGATTTGACATAATCTGCTGCCAGAATCCTAGTACCATAATTGCAGAGTTAAATTTAGCCATTTTGCTTGAATTCACTTCGACATAAAAAGGCAAAAAATGGCAGCTAGAATCCTTCCTACATGGTCCAGAGGGAACATTTTTGATTGCACATGGAGTTTTTGTTCAGTCAGTAATTCTGTTAAAGTGTTGAAGATAGTAAAAACCACAGCAGCACTTAAAGCAAGCCAACCTTCAGCCAGTAATGCAAAAAGGCTCAGCAGGTTTCATAAATGCACCAAGCTATGTTATAGCACTAATCAGACTGAATCCTACTTTAACTTAAAAAATAGATCACCCCAGTTGGGCATCAGTCAAATGCACTGAGGAGGGGAAAAAAGAACTTGCCAGGCAAAGATCAGGGAGAAATTATCCACCCCCCCCCCCCCCATCCCCCCTCCCCCCCCACACACACACACACACACACACGCACATACACAAAGGAAGATGTAATTTGCTGGAGCTCAACCACACCACTGATATTTTGGGAGAGTGGTGAATCTTCCCTGGGGTAGCTCTCATGCTTCAACAATAACTAAGCTATGTACCATCAGAAATATGTGGTTCCTAAAAAGGATTCATGGCAGAGACCACTTAGCGAGCAGTGGTTTCCATCTGCTCAGTAAGAGCGCCATGCTCATCTCAAGTCTTCTGAGTACCACCTGGACCATCCTTTAGAGTTCTGGAACAATGCATCATTTTTAGCAGGTCTTACAAATGCTTGGATGTTATATTTCTGAAAGTTAAAGGATTTAATGGTATTCAGTCTCATTAGTGCTGCGTCATACCCTTGTGCATTTCTGAAACCGGCTAACCATTTTACATTATGATAGATAAGTCAAAGGCTGAACCTCCAGGGCAACACGGGGTCCATTCGGTAGTGAAAATTCAAAGACTGAATTCCACGGTGAGAACCTCACACTAAAAGATGGACATGGTTATGGCAGTGTCACAGTTTAAGGATGCTTTGCCGGATTAGGACATGGATGACAAGCCATGACTGAATGAACCACCAATTCTGCTCTGCTTCAGAATTTTGCAGATGAATATGAGGCCATCCAGTCCTGAACAGAAGCTGAAGTACAGCTGGACCATGTAGGAAGACACAGATCTTGAAGAACAAGAAATGTAATGTTTAAGAACAGCCTAGACACATTCCAGACCTAAACCCTACTGAGATGCTGTGGCAGGACTTGAAACAAGCAATTCATGTTCAAAAACCAGCAAATATCACAGAGCTGGAGGAAAGCCCCAACATCCCTCCAGAGAGCTGTGAAAGATGAATCAATGACTACTGCAAGCATTTGTTTACAGATATTGCTACTTATGTTAGTGTAACCAGTAACTGGGTCTGAGCGACTACTTTTCGCATCAGGGCATCCAGTGGAAAATCAAGCGAAGCAGGAAGGACTCACTTATACGTTCTCTCAGTGTCAACACACAGCCAAAGGACACCTTCCAGCCAAGCGGTCCTGTGGACAAAGGACATCACCCTGGCAACAGACAGGCCCGAGCCTCAGCAGCCTTTTGCAACAGACCAGACAGGCTGAACCTCAAATCGTAGGACTTGAAAGCAAATGATAACTGTGTCTAAGTAAAATAAATGATCTTTTATGTATTGCATTTTAATAAGTGGTCTCTACCAATTAAAATAAAAAAAAAAAAAAAAATCAAAGGTATTGCATAAATTTATTGTCAATGTTAATTCATTGATTGGTACTCTGTTAAACACACACATTGCACGATGGATTGAGGGTTATAATTCAAAATGTTTTAGGTATGTGCGTGTTTTAAGATGGTAACATTTAATAATCTGCTAATTGCTTATTTTTAACTGGGTTTTAATTATTAATTTAATTTCTTTGGATATGTCAGGTTTCCTGTCAAGTTCCACAAACAAACAAGGAGATTGGAAGCTTGAAAGGGACGTTTAAGCCAAACAAACAGTGCAAATCCCTCTTGGAGGGATGCACATGATTTAGTGCCCTCATTA